TGGCTGCTGGCTACATATGGTAGCCCATGGCAACCCACTGCCACAGGGGCTGCAGCCTACACCGTTGCCAGTGACTCACGGCAGCCCAGCTCCAGGTTGAGCTGTTGTTCAGCATCTTAGTTGTGGAGGGCAGTGTCACTGGCCCTCATATATGGGATCCGAACCAGGGCCCTCTGGCGTCCCATGCCAGTTCTTAACCATTGCGCCACTCGGCCGGCCCTAATGGAGTAAGGATCTTAAAAACAAAATAATTGGGAAAATTTTGAATAACTAAGATCACGTCAAATCTTCAAGTTTACAAAATATAAAAACCTTTAAGAAAGTTTTTTTGCAATCAAGATGTGAGTGTTCACTTACATTTACCTTAGAAACACACAACTAACCTTCATTAATGGTCATCTAATGAAACAACTCCTCGGGGAACATTTAAAATAAAAAATGGGCTGGCTTCTTTTCCAGGCACTTGTTTTTTCTTCCACCTTTACTGAGATGTAATTGAAATATAACATATATACAGTCAGCCGTCTGCATCAGCGGATTTTGCCTCCCTGGAATCAACCAACGCATTGAAAATATCAGGGGGAACAATTCCAGAAAGTTCCAAAAAGCAAAACTTGAATTTGCCACATGCTGAGACCTAAGCTGAATTTATGCAAATGAAGTGATGTGTAGGCATACCCTGCTATGGCCTATATGCAAATACAGGTTATAGGCAAATACTTCACCATTTTATATAAGGGACTTGAGCATTCCTAGATCTTAGTATCTGCGTGTGTTTCTGGAACCAATCCCCTAAAGATACCAAGAGACTTACATTGTGAAATGATGACCACAATAAGGTTACTTAACACCTCCATCACCTCACATAATTACCACTTTTTTAGGGGGGAGTCTTTTAATAATAATAACCCTTACATAGCGCTTCCTGTGTGCCCAGCCCAACCTGAAATCTTTACTCATCAGTCCTCATAATAATACCCAGAGGTAAAAACAGATGAAGAGACCGAGGCATAGGGGACTCCAGGAAAGAGCTGAGAAGTCCCACCTAGGCAGTGGTTCGGAGTTCAGTCCAATACCCCTGACCGCTACCCCACCTCTGCAGGGGCCGCTTCCTGGGATCTGGACTCTCCTTGCTCAGTGTCCCATTCTGTAAAATAGGCTGGTGTTGAGAGATGGGGGGGTTCCTGGTGACCGGGTTGTCTCCCCTCCATCTGCGCAGCCCCCAAGACTTGCTCCCAGGACGAGTTCCGCTGCCACGACGGGAAGTGCATCGCGCCGGGGTTTGTCTGTGACTCGGACTGGGACTGTTTGGACGGTTCTGACGAGGCATCCTGCCCCACGCCCACCTGCGGCCCTTCCAGCTTCCAGTGCAATAGCTCCACCTGCATCCCTGAGCTGTGGCTCTGCGACGGGGATCCCGACTGCCATGATGGCTCAGACGAGTGGCCGCAGCACTGTGGTGGCCGCAACACGTCCGCCACACAAGAGGAAAAACCCTGCTCGGCCCTCGAGTTCCACTGCCACAGCGGGGAATGCATTCACTCCAGCTGGCGCTGCGACGGGGGCTCTGACTGCAAGGACAAGTCTGACGAAGAGAACTGCGGTAGGGTCGCCAAGCGGGATCCCCTCACCTGTCCCCGCGCTCCCGCAGGTGTGGGACGGGTGGTGTCTTTAGGTAGTTAAACAACTCCCAATCACACACCTATCTATCTATCTATCTATCTATCTATCTATCTATCTATCTATCTATCTATCTATCTATTTATTTATTATTTTTAGAATTTTTATTGGGGAACAATATGTTTTTCTAGGACCCATCAGCTCCAAGTCAAGTAGTTGTCTTCAGTTTAGTTGTGGAGGGCACAGCTCCTTGGCCCATGTGAAATCGAATAGGCAGCTTTGGTGTTATGAGCCTGCGCTCTAAACACTTGGGCTAACCGGCCACCCCTCACATGCCTATTTAATTCATCTCTTTTTTGACAAGGAGAATAAAGCCACAAGCTGCAGTATTATTTTGGTTTATAAAGGATCCTGGACTCCAGGCCTAGCTGGTGACATCAGAGCTGTGTGACCCTTGGCCAAGGACTCACTGTCACTGCGCTGTGGTGTCCTCCCCTGTTGAATGAGGCAATAGCACTGGCCTTGACAGCGGCCATTAGAATCTAGTGCCACCCAATAGTGAACTTTCTGGAAGGTGGACGCGTTCCCACACCTGCTCTACCCAGTGCAGTAGCCGCTATCCAGCGTTGCATAGCATGACTGAAGAACAGAAGTTTTAGTTTTGTTTCATTTTAATTAATTGAAAGTTAAATAGCCACCCATGGTTAGTGGCTCCTGTGTTGGAAATGGTGCACATACAGGATGTGGCCTTGGCCCTGGCCCTGTGTCAGCGCTCCTTGAATGCACAGGCCATTATTTCAAGGCCAGTGATGTAGAATCACTGTCAACCCAGAAGGTGTTTCATCTTTGTGTGTCTTCAGTATCTTTGCCCACGTGCAGTTTTCATTGAGTTGTAATTGCTGTGTAGGTATAATTAGACAATTTTAGCATCACATTTTAAAGACAATGGGTGACTTTGTATGTGATCTATTCTAAAACTTAACACAAGATTATTTCATCTCCATAACTTGTGCACAGGCTTCCCCTATGCTTGATAGATGGGGAAACTGAGGCACAGAAAGGCAGAGTAGTCTTCTGAGGACACACCTGTGAAAGTAAAAATCCCGTCTGCTTACCATTTTCGCCGTCATCAGAGTTCATGCTTTGCTAAAGTTACCTTTGGTTTTTTGTTTTGTTTTGTTTTGTTTTCCTTTTTTTAATGCAAAAATATACATATGGGTTAAAAATAAGATCATTCCCGGGTGACTGGATGGCTCAGTTGGTTAGAGTGTGTGTTCTTAACAACAAGGTTGCCCGTTCAATTCTCGCATGGGATGGTGGGCTGACACTCCCCCACACCTCCCCACCCCTGCCCACAACTAGATTGAAAACTGTGACTGGACTTGGAGCTGAGCTGCGCCCTCCACAACTAGATTGAAACAGCTTTTTGACTTGGAGCTGATGGGTCCTGGAAAACCCACTCTGTTCCCCAATAAAATTTCTTTAAAAAAATACAGAATAAGATCATTCCCCTTTTTACATATGTCACAGCAGAGGAAGTATCTACTTGAACCTACAGAGCTCCAAAAATTTGCATTTTTTTTTAAGGTGGAGAGGGGCTCATTCTGCCCATAGATTTACTATCTCTTCTCACTGACATCCTGAAATCAAATTTTAAAATTGTAAACATTTTTATTGTGCAATATAACCCACAGCAAAGTACAGAAAACATAGACATGTTTTAGCACAAAGCAAATCCTGTGTGAGGTCAAGGTCTGGACCAGGTCAGCATTACCCTATTCCAGTCACCATGTGTGTTCTCCAAGATTTAATTGTTACGTCATTCTTTACCACATAGCATCGTCTCATGAACACTTTTCATGTTTTCAGCCTGTCATTTGAATGATTGCATTAATGCTTGGTGGTATTGATCTGATTTATCATAATTTACTTGACCTGCCTCTGTCTAGCTTGGGATCACATCATTGCTCTTCTGCTAAGAATGGCCTGTTGGGTCTGTAGCTTTTTAATGAATTGATGTGATCTAAAAAATGCATATGAGACAAAACTGGAGAGAAGTCTAGGAAAACCATAATAGTTGTGGTGGGGCATTTGGACTGTGGGTGCTTTCCTCCCCTTTCTCATTATTCAACCTTTGCTCTTCAACCTTTGTTACTTCGGTAATAATTTTCCATGATTCTTCTTCATTAAGGAAAAAGGTACTTACTGCTATAAAAGAAAATCTTCTAAAATCTACATTGGTTAAATGTGAGAATACAAAGACAGACGTACCTGGGGAGTTTTCCCCCCGTGGTGGGAAGGAAGACCACCTCTTCCCTCTTTTTCCTGCTCAAAGAAGCAGGTGTGGTGGATGGATGAGCCGCTGTCATCTGCTGGTGGAGGACGGTGGATGTGTTTTTTCATGTCTAAACCTCCTCGGTCCATACGCTGTCTCTAAAGCCCAGGGCAGCCGGCTCCTGTTAGGCTGTTGGAAAATTGCTGCTTCAAAGGTGGGGATTCTCCCGTTTTCGCTGCTCCTTGAGAAAAATCTACACGATCTCTGTCTTTCCCAGCTATGGCCACGTGCCGGCCTGACGAGTTCCAGTGCTCAGATGGGACCTGCATCCACGGCAGCCAGCAGTGCGACAGGGAGTATGACTGCAAGGACAAGAGTGATGAGCTTGGATGCATCAATGGTGAGCTCCGTGCCCGGAGGGCCCTATGCTGTGGGGGGGGAGGGGGGGGAGGAGGGACAAGTGGGATGGATCCCAGATGAGGGTGGAGGTTCCCAGGTGAGCCCCACACCAGCTGGGTGTCCTTGGGCAACTTACTTGAACCCCCGATCGGAACAGCGTATGTAATGAAAGCACCTACTTCAGGACTATGAGATTTAGTGAGATCAGAGTGGTCAGAGTCCATATCTCTGAGCTCAGAGTTACACGCACAAGACGATGTAAAACACTCCTGAATGTACAACACAGCAGTCCCGCTCCTGGGAATGACTCCTGGAGACGGGCTCCAGCAGACAGGCTCTGGTCCAGCAGAGCAGCACTGTGCTAATAGCAAAACACTGGAAGCAGCCCAAGTGTTCCTCAGCAGCAGAGTTAATTTAAACATTTTAAATTGTGGTAAAATACACATAATGTAAGAATACTGCTTTTAAAAATAGTTTATATGAAGGTATTTATAAGGCCAAACAAATTTTCGTGAACAAAAAGTTAAATTCTGATAATACACTATCTTTTTTTTTAGCTGGTAAAATACATACCACGTAAAATTTACCGTCCTCACCATTTTTAAGTGTTCAGGTCGGTGGTATTCAGTACATTCACATAATGGTGCAACCATCCCCACCATCCATCTCCAGAACTTTTTCACCTTCTCAAACTGAAACTCTCTCCCCATTAATTGCTAAGTCCCCAGTCCCCTTCCCCAGCCCCTGGTACTCACCACTCCATTTTCTGTCTCTATGATTTTGACTACTCTAGGGTATAAGTGAAATCATGTTTGTCTTTTGGTGTCTGGTTTATTTCACTCAGCATAATGTCCTCCAGATTCATCCACATTGTAGTGGGTCAGAATTTCCTTCCTTTTCAAGCTTGAATAATATTCCATTGTATGGATGGGCCACATTGTGTTTATACATTCCTCAGTTGAAGGACACTTGGGTGGCTTCCATCTTTTGGCTATTGTAATTAATGCTGCTATGAACACAGGTGTATGGAAATAATATTAAAAATGATGATGTAGTCACACAGTGAACGATCATACAGCTCAGAAAATGAGGCTACACCCCTCAGCAGCAACACATACAAACCTCATAACATTAGGTCTGACAGCAAGAAGCAAGTTACGGGAAATTACTGAATACAGCTATTTTACAAGACTTGAAACCAAGCAAAATTCAACAACAAAAACAATCATACATGTTTGATAGAACTACTAATGAAAAAATGAAGGAATGGTAAACTGCAAATTCAGGATTATTGTTACCTCTGGGGATATAGCAGAGGGTAACAGAGGACGGATAATAGGGTGTGATGATCTAGGTTACGGGTTCTGCAAACTTTTACCACAAAAGGCCAGATAGTAAATATTTTTGGCTTTGTGGGCCACAGTCTCTGTTGGAACTACTCAACTCTGCCATTGCCTCGTGAAAACAGCCACAGACAGTATGTAAATGAATGGGCCAGGCTATGTGCCAATAAAACTTTATTTAAATAAACAGGCAGTGGGTACATTTGACCATGGTCCATAATTTACTAACTCCTGCTCTTGGTGACATCGTAATTCTTAAGCTGGGTTCACAGGTATTCAATAATTATTGTTTTATTAGCAAACACATTTGTATATAATTTTGTATAAATTAACTATATTATTAAAAAGCCTTAAGCAGGGTCCTGCAGCTCAGAAGCACCTGACCCTCTATTTTGGCTCTCATAGTGACTTTGTGCGAGGGTCCCAACAAGTTCAAGTGCCGCAGCGGTGAATGCATCACCATGGACAAAGTGTGCAACTCGGTCCGGGACTGCCGGGACTGGTCGGACGAGCCCCTCAACGAATGTGGTGAGCCCCGGGGTGCCTGCAGCTCTCAAGCTTGTGGGGAGCTGGGAGTGGGACCCAGACAAAGGTGCTGTGGGGTCACAAGGCTCCAGCCCACCCATGCCTCGAAGTGCTTTGGCTCTGGGGTGCGACAGGTATGGTGAGAATAAGTGGCTTTGCCGCCAAGTTTTAGTTTGTACATCCATAAGATGGGACTGTAGTTGCTCACACATCCTAAGACTGCTGAAATTGGCTGATGGGATGCTTGTAAAGTTGTGGCAACTCTCTGTGACCTATTGTTGTGTAAATATTCGGACTTTTCTGGTCATGTGGTCTCTGTTGCTGTTATCCCACTAGGCCATGGCAGCAGGAAAACAGCCATACATACGCATGCAGATGTGTGCCCATGAATGTGTGTTCCAAGAAAACTACTACAGACACTGAAATTTGAATCTCATAGAACTTTTATGTGGTGCACAATAACATTTTTCTTTTGATTCTTTTTTTTCCCCAACTATTTAAAAATGTAAAAACCATTCTTAGCTGCTGGGCTGTGCCTGGTATAAAGGTTAGAGCATGGATTGTGGAGCCAATGCCCTGGGTTTGAGTCCAGTGGTTTGATCTTGGGCAGTTCATTTAACATGGTCATGCCTCAGTTTCCTCAGCTACAGTTCAGCTACCTTTAGGGTTGTTGGGAGGATTAAATGAGTAAATACACATAACCATGGTGTGTGGTTTTCATTTTTTTATAATTAAAATAATTATGAATTGTGGTTGAGGAAAATAACAAGATTTATCATCTTAACGATTTTTAAGTGTACAGTCCTGTGGCATTAAGTACATTCACACTGTTGTGCCGCCATCTCCAGAACTTTCTCATGTTCCCAAACTGAAACTCTGTCATTAAACACTGACTTTCCCTCCCCCTCCTTACAACACCCACCATTCTACTCTTTATCAATTTGACTCCTCTAAAGACCTCCTATAGGTGGGATTTTATAGTATTTGTCATTTTGTGTCTGGCTTATTTCACCTAGCATGATGTCCTCCAGGTTCATTCATGGTGTTGCTCATGACAATGGTTATTTTAAGTCATCTTAGGGGTCATGGTACTTCACTGGCCTCAAAGTCATTGTGACTGTGATAAAGATGGTGAAATAGCAAAGGTGGCAGGAAAGGGGTGCCTGCAGGCTTGAGCATGACCAGTCTGTGCTCCTCACCTGGCGCAGGGACCAACGAGTGCCTAGACAAGAAGGGCGGCTGCTCCCACGTCTGCAACGACCTCAAGATTGGCTACGAGTGCTTGTGTCCCATGGGCTACCAGCTGGCAGACCGGCGAAAATGCGAAGGTGATTCCCAAGCAGGGTGGGTTCTGGGCCTCCTTGGACTTTTCCTCTGACGTGGTGGCCAAACCCTGTATGCCTCGGTTTCCTTATCTGTTATGTAGTCATAAAGCAGTCCCCACTTGCAAGGCTGTTAGGATTTAATGAAATGCCAGAGGCACAAGATGTCTAGCACAGGCTTAGCCCTTGGTTCTTGCCTTTGGGGTTAATAATTAAGAAAGAAATCTCAGCTGACACAGCTTCCTTCCTCACCCCTGAAGTGAATGGTGAGGTCAAGATAATTGCTATAGGGCCGGCCGAGCGGCGTGTTGGTTAAGAGTTGGCTTGGGACGTCAGCTCTGAGCATCAGGGCCCCGGTTCGAATCCCACATTAGGGCCTGTGACGCTGCGCCCTCTACAGCTAAGATGGTGAACAACAGCTCAAACTGGGGCTGGGCTGCCATGAGTCACTGGCGACGGTGTAGGCTGCAGTGAAGCTGCAGTGGGCTGCCATAAGCTACCGTGAGTGGCTGGCAGCCGATGTGAACGGCTGGCAGCCAGTGTGAGCTGATAAGAGCTGCCATGAGTGGCCATACAGTGGCTGGCGACCAATCTGCCTCACTTGGGAAGAGCGCAATTATAATACCAACATGGGCCAGTGAAGCAACGTTCTCACAACTAGACTAAAGAACAAAAGGAAAGCAACTTGTCTGTTCCCCTTCCCCGATTCCCAACGCTGATCCCCTCCCCCAATTTCCCAATAAAATCTTTAAAAAAAAAAAAAGATCATTGTAGACGGCTCTTGGCCATTTCCATGATTTTATTTCTGAGCCTCATGGTCACTGAGACCCCAGCCCTAGAGATCTTCCCCAGAGGAGATGGCCCTCCCCCATCTGCCATTGTGGGGCATGGCTTTGGGTCAGAGCCCATCGCTCTATCCACGGCCCATGGGGGCGATGTCCCAAACCTCTTTCTCTGTCCCAACTCACAGATATTGACGAGTGTCAGGACCCCAACGCCTGCAGCCAGATCTGCGTGAACCTTGAGGGCAGTTTCAAGTGTGAGTGTGAGTCGGGCTTCCAGCTGGACCCCTTCACCAAGGCCTGCAAGGCCACAGGTGAGTGTGCGGAAGTGGGGGAAGGGGACTGGCCTGGCTGCTCCCAAAGCAAACGGGTGAGGAATTTCAGCATCTGAACTTTGCACAGACTAAAATGACCTAGGGGCAGGCTGTTTGCTCCTGAGACCTCCTGCATGTGAATGACAGTGCAGTTAGAAATCAGGCTTACTGGAATGCTGCCCTCACATGTCCAGCTTCTCAGACACAGGTCAGCCCCATGGGGCGCGGTTTGTAGCCCCCAGGCCCTGCCAGGGACTTCAGAGGGCAAGAGTTGGAAAGCCATGGCCCCAAACAGCCCATACCTCTTCTCTCTCTTCTTGTTAGCTATAGTACCTGTACCCCACCCCACCCCAAAAAGCAAGTGCATTTAAAAGAGACCAAAATATAATAACTCATAATGAAACAAAATAGTAGAAATAGTTAAGTTTCTTTTCTACCTAAAGTTTAGGTTAGAACTGCAACCATGCACTAATTCTTAGAATCACCTAAATCAAGGGATCCCTTGTTTTTGGAGGCGTAATTATTCTGGCAGACTTGTCACCCAGACCGTCACCCAAATGGTCTTTGTTTTGCATCATGTTCTCCTCTTGTAGTGTGATCCTAGCGAGTTTTGCAGAAATACTTTAGATAAGCTTTGCCTGTTTCTCTAAGAGTCTCTTTGGCTTTAAGTCCTTCACCCTTGTTGTCATCCCTCTAGACAGCCTCCAGCCTCCCTCTGTCACATCCTCGTGCATGTCCTGGTTTTGGAGAAAACTGGGGGCCGAGTTCCTGAATTCTTCCAGGATTTGACATGTTACTTTCATTCCAATCTGTAGCACTCCATGTCTATACAGGTGCCATCCCAGGGGTGGGGATGGTGTCATGGGAAGGGATATTCTGAGTGAGGTCAGTTGTAGCAGTAGTCAGTTTGTTGGTGAATATTGGCGTCATAGGTACAGCACAGCCTCCAGAGTCCTAGAGACCCAGGTTCAAATCCCGGCTCTGCCACTCCCTAGCTGTGTGACCTTGAGCAAGTCACTTCCCCTCTCTGAGCCTCAGTCCTTTTATCTGTAAAGGAAGTTTGAAAATAGCCCCTGCCTTGTAAGGGTATGAGGATCAATGAGGGAAAACTTAGTAGGAAAATTATTAAAAAGACTTCTGCGCTGTAAGGAATCACTACCTATACGTGAGCCATTATCATATCTTCAACTTTCGGTCCTAAAATGTAAAATGCTGGAGCCCAGGTGTTTTGAAATGTAGTTTTTATTATTGTGCATCTTTGGCGAGGCCAACAGATCAGGAGACAATGGCCACTGTAAAGACAGTTTGTTACAGTTCCTGGAAGGAGGGGACATGTTACACCATGCAGGGCCCCACAGGGAAGCACCAAGGTTGGTCAGGAAGCAGAGGGTGTGAGGGGGAAGATGTGGGCTAGAGGCTTTCTTGTGGTTTCCTTGGGAAGGAACAGGTGAGGCAGGGTAAACAGGCTTAGGATTGGTTAGTTTGCATAATGTCAGCGGGCCCTGGGATGTAAGGACTGTTTCTGGTTGCCTGATTCCCCCAGGACAGGGGATGGTGGCCTGGAGTGTGATACCCCAATAAAGGAGGTGGTATGTGTGGCTGGTTAGTTTGCACCTGAGGCGAGTGGGTAACTGTGTAGGAACTGGCGAGGCCTGGGGGCGGCCATTCATCCCTCCAGGATCTGCAAGGCCCCAGAAGTCAGAGCATCAGAACCTAACCGTTAATACACCAGGGAGGCACTCCATCCTGTGCCCTGGTCATCTTCTCTGGTTCAGCCAGGCCCTGGAGGGTGACAAGCAGGGGTCAGGGTCCCTTCCATTCCCCTGAGCGCCCTTCCTATCTCTGCAGGCACCATCGCCTACCTCTTTTTCACCAACCGCCACGAGGTGAGGAAAATGACGCTGGACCGCAGAGAATACACCAGCCTCATCCCAAACTTGAAGAACGTGGTGGCCCTGGACATGGAGGTGGCCAGCAACAGAATCTACTGGTCCGACCTGTCCCAAAAGAAGATCTACAGGTGAGCCTCGGCGCACACCCAGCACGACCCCGGGTGAAATAATGGTCCCTGGCACTAAAGCTCTCGCCCTCCCCCTCCTGTCTCCTCAGTACCCAGGTTGACAGAGCACCCAGCTTCTCCTATGACACGGTCATTGGTGACGACCTCCAGGCCCCTGACGGGCTGGCGGTGGACTGGATCTACGGCAACATATACTGGACCGACTCCATCCTGGGCACCATCTCCGTGGCCGACACCAAGGGCGTGAAGAGAAAGACGCTCTTCAAGGAGAAAGGCTCCAAGCCCAGGGCCATTGTTGTGGACCCTGTCCATGGGTGGGTATCCCTGAAGCTGAGGGGTACAGAGAGAATGAAGAACCAATTAGGACTTGGAGTGAGGGGGCAAGGTTTCTGTCCAAAGTAGACTAGACTGAGTTGAATGGGGGATGGAATCAGGGGGCCCTCCCCACCCGCCCTTTGCAGACCTTGAGGGTCAATCCCTCTGATGTCTGCTGTGTCACCTGAGATGGAAGTGGACCCTGAAAAGTCCTGCCTTGTGGAATAGAATCCAAAACCAGAAATTAAAATACCAATTTAAGTTGGTATTAGAAATTAATACTTATTAGAAATTAGAAAATAAAATTCTAATTTAGTCTTTTATGGCAGAGTGTCCTATGCCAGGATAGGATTAGAGAAACGTAAAAATACGCAGGTCCAACGTTAATCAACGGATGGTTTTTGCAAGGACTGAAGGTCACCGCCCTGTGGAGGCCCCAAGTAGGTGTCTACAGGATCTCTGGGCTGACTCAGCAACTCCAAGGTCCACAGAGACCAGTCCACGTGTCCCCTGGAGGAAAGCATGGCCCCCATCCCGCGTACTCTGTACCTGTCACACCATGTCTGCTGCCACAGCATGTCACGTGTGGAATTTCACAATTCTGGAGGGGTGTTGACAACTCCAGGATGGGCAGCAGTAACCTGAAGAAAAGGGAGCATTTGGCTGCGAGCGTGACTTAGATGGGACAGACCTTGGGGTAGAGGTGGGCTGGGCAAGCTTGGGCCCCAGTCGAATAAGAAAAATGCTCTCATTTGGTAGAGGGACATGCAGTCCAGTACATTTAGCCTCTCAGCTGCCGACAGAGACCCCCAGAAACAACCCACCAAGATATAAGTGGGGTGTGTGTGTGGTGTGTGTCTGCTCTTGTGTTTCTCTTTACCTGAATAGCAGCCCATTTTGGCGCTCTGTTCTCCACCTGGCTCTCTCATTTGGCATATGAGGTTCCATCCCTGTCCCCCTCATGGGCCATAATTCATTTAACTGATATTCAGCACATGGAAATTTAGAATTTTGTCCCCCTTTTTTTCTCCTACTGCTCACAAGGCATCACTGCTTTACGGTGGTGGTCTGGAACCAAACCCTCAGTATCTCTGAGGTATGCTTTTATATATGTATATATATATATATAT